CTGCAGGCTGGGCACATGTCCTGCCCTCCTGCTCTGCTCCCAAAGGCAGCAGTGATGGGCAGCTCTGGGCACAGCTCTGGCACGGCCAGCATGGCCTGGGCACCGTGGGCGGCTGGGACAAGGGGACAGGAGCTTTCAGCTGACGGGCGCTTTCTGGTTTCTCTCCTTGCAGCCGGGCTCTGCGGGTGCTGAGGCTGCTCTGGGCTCTGCCAGGGCCCTGCTGGAGCTCAGCACCAGGCTGCAATTAGCCAAAGGAGAAATGGGGTGCCCTGCAGCACAGACTTGCTTGAGCATTTCAGCAACACAGCTCAAGAAAACATGCAGCCACCCAAAAAATAAACTTGTTCAATAACTTCTGAAATGAAATCAATCTGGGATGACCCCAAATGACTTTTTGCAGCTTGCTCAAGCAGTAGCTCAGCCCTTCTCTGAACTGTTCTCTCTTCTCCTTGCCTTTTACTTCCCAACTGCTCCCTCTTTTCCCGCAGTGAGTTCCCAGCCCATTCCAGTCTCCATCACACTGTTGCCTTCCTTGCTGCCCCTCACCATGAGGAAGGCTGAGCCCCAGGCTTAGGGACTCATCCTGTCACTGCCTGAGAAGCAGCAATGTCTCAGAGGTCCGGTGGGATTTTAGTGTCATTCAGAGCTTCTCTCCAGCCCCCAGCTCCCCTCACTGCTGAGTTCCCACTCCCTTTTCCTCGTCCTTGCAGCAGGATGAGCTCTGTGAATCCCCTGGAGCCTCTCCACTCTTCCCAGCCCACGCACCCACCTCAGTTAGGCTGAAGCTGCAGCTTCTCTGTCTCCTCTGGCACACCAGTGCAGTCCCCTGTGCGGGGAGCCCCAGCCCCAGAGCACAGCACTCAGCAGTGCACTCGGGGCTGGAGCAGCTGCCCTGCAGCCCTGCCTTGGCTCTTTGTGGCAGGGAATGCTCCCTGTTTGCAGCTGTCCCTGCAGGATGGCCCCAGGGCAGAGCCCAGCCGGGCTCCCACTGCAGCCCCTGAAGCTTGGGGCAGACAGTGGTCCCAGAACTGAGGTTCACGGGGAGCACCCGGAGCTGTGCCTCGCACTCTGTTGCCGTGTCACCGTGCAGGCTGGCTTATACTGGGTGAATGTACCAGCCCTGCTTTGACTGACAGGGGCCGGGCCCATCACATCTCTCCCAAGGCTGCAGGCATTGCCCAGGCCAGAATCTGAAGGGGCACAGAGATCAGAGCAGTGAAATCATCCAGACCGGGTTTTCAAAGGCCCTTTAGAAGGAAGGGCTTGAGAATAAACGTGCTCTGTTTGCCACACAAACATCAGGGTGAGTGGTCTCTTTGGCTCCAACCCACTTTCCTCCCCGAGCCAACGTTACCCTCTCCCTCACACGTCCCCCCCGTGCCTTCCCACTGCCTTGTCCTGTCAGGGTTTCCACAGCCCCTCATCCCTTCGTGGCCCCGTCCCCTCAGGGTCTCCCCAGCCCGGCCAACCTGCCCGGCAGCAGCATCGCAGCCCCACAGGAGCTCCAGAGGAGCCCCTCAAGAGGCACCTGGGAGCCCTCAGCAATCCAGTCAGCAACACATGGGCAGGAGGACACGGATGGTGCTTCCTGGCTGGGACAGGGCTTGTGGCCATCTCCAGGCACCGCTCTCACAGAGATCCCCACAGCTCCAGCCCCTGCCCATCTGCTCTGTGGGCAGCACAAGGGCTTCATCAGAGCCACCAAAGGCCAAGGGGCTTCTGGCCATTTTCCCTGCAACTCTGCAAGCCTGAGCAGCTTGCTGAGCCCAGGAACCCTTTTCTCCCTCTTCCCCTTGGCCCTGCAGAGCCTGGGCAGCCAAAGAAAGATCCTGGGAGTCTGTCTATAGAAACACATCCTATATTAACATGCTAAAGAAAAACAAAAAGAAAGAAAAGAAAAATCTTAACGAAACAAAACATTCCTGCTGGCTCAGGTGGCCCCAGCAGACAGAGCCTCTGGAATCAGCTCTCTGCAGAGCTCCAGCAGCGCAGCCAGCCGAGCCCCAACAGACAAGGCCGTCTCCTCCATGCCCTGCAGAGCCGATCACGCAGGTTGTCAAAGAGGGAATATGGAGCTCTCTCTGCTTCCTGGACAATGTACGGTGTTTGAACTGCCAGGCTTGCGACGTCGACACTGATGTCATTTTCCAAGCCTTCAAGGGCTGAAAGAGAGAGGAACAGAGCCATGGTCAGTTCCCACATCTGAGGGGACCCGAGGGGACTCTGTGCCAGGGCCATCCCAGCCGGCTCTGG